GAGCCTCAGAGAATGCTGGCCTTCATGCCCTCCAAAGGAAATTTTAATAAGACAGAAATAGTCACCTGAATCCCCCTGCTTTAATGAAACCATAGCGATGTATCTGAAGGAAGCTGAGGGGAGAGCAGATTTCCCAGGACCCCTTTGGCTGCCCATCCCACCAGTCACCCAGCCCACAGCTCCTCCCACTCATGGCCTAAACCCCCTGATGTCCCACAATGCACCGCTCCTTTCTGTTCCTGAGACATCTGGTCTGGGAAGACAACCTCACTGTGTGGGGGAAAAGGAGCCCTCAGTGCCAGGGGTGCTGATCAGGGAGGCCCAGAGCTCTGAGAGACACAAGGAGGAAATGTCACTAACAGAATTGAACGGAGACTCACTTCTCCCTCTCCCCTTCTCCCTCTGGAATAAACATGGCAGACAGCAGATGTTCAGGGCAGGCAGAGACCCCAGGCCTTACTCTGACACGGCCCCTACAGACATGGTACCACTGGCTGTTGTGGGAAAGGCTCCCTCCACCCAACCCTGACTCACGGAGCACTTGGTCCTCAAGCTGATGGCACTGTCTTGAGGAAATGTGGACCTTTTACAATACAAGTAGGTCACTGAGGCAGCAGATCTGAAAAGTTATATGTAGGGAGACACTGTAACCACGCCTCCTAAGGGCTGGCCACATCTGCTCTTGACGACGCCTGTCAAGGGCATGGTCAAGGGGAGGTCAGGATAGGTTCTTAAAGGGCTGCAGACACCTGGGGACCCCTTCTCTCTGGCCTCCCTGCCTTGCTGCCTCTGGGCAAGCTCTGGCTTGTGCTTGGCTGGTGTATCTGAATAAAGAAAACCTATACTGACTGCTGGTCGATCTCTAACAGTTATAGCTTGGTGCTGTTCCACACACACGCACTCTATTTCCTGATCTGCTATGATGTGGACAGGCAGGCTCCTGTGCCCACTGCCACATTCTCGAGACAACATGAACTTTATCATGCCCTGCCTGCCATGATGGACTGACTATACACTTCCAAAGCAGGAGCCGAAGTAAACCCTTACTGCTTCAGAAGCTTCAGTTCAGTATTTTTATCACGGTAAGGAGAAAAAACAAGCAAACAAACGAACTACGTAATAGATACCTCCAACTGGGTTTCTAAGAGAGATCACCCTTGTGGCGTGGACATTAAAAAGTTGCAGGCCAAAGATCCTACTGACAGAGAATTGGTGCTGAGTGGACCTTCTTGATGTGTCAACACCAAGTGTGACTCAGAGGCGAGTCACACTCAGATGTGTCACTAACGTACACTAATGCTCTAGTGTTGTGTAATTTTAATAGATTTCAATTTAAAAGCCGAGGAACCATGCAATCCATTCAATTACAATTGCTACCTGACTGCAGCTTACCAATCTAATCCTAGAAGCCACCCATTAGTAGCACACAGGATCCTGGCTCATAAATAAAGAATGCATGTTTATTAGCTAATTCCTAAGACAATATTTCCCTCAGTTCTTGGGAGAACTCCATGGTAGGAGGACACTCTAAACCAAACCTAGAATAAACCAGACCTAGACTGTAACATTTCTTAAGGAAGTGGGGTTACTGTTGACCAGCTCTGTGACCTGGGGAAGTCCCTTCACCTCTGTGAGCCCTGGGTTTCTTCACAGAAGTGAGGCTTAGCTGTGTCTGTGGCTCAAGCTTACTGTGGGTGGTTATGGAGTCTTTACAAAAGGCCAGACACACTCCTCTGCATGCTATAGGCACACACTAACAAGACTGTTACTGTAAGTCAGAAGAAAATTCCCTGTGTCCTGCAAAAACACAGAGGTTCTCCCAAAATGCCTATCACATAGATACTTCATGTTCCCAGTCAGCACCATCTTCTTCTCTGGCGTGGTCCTGGAACAACAAGAATATGAAAGTAGGCTTCTCCTTAGGACCTGATGACAAGGGTGCTACAGAGCAATTCAGACCTGGAAGCCCCTAGGACAAGGCTGAGCAACTCAGGCAATGACTTTGTACACATACCAGGAGCCCGCACCCAAGGATTCCCTGCATGCCTGTCCCCACTTAACACCCCAGCTAGAACTTGTGATGATGGTACTATTAGGGTTTTATGCTACTGAGTAAATTAAAATCAGGTGTGGTAGCGCTGTGCTTTAGACTGGATGGCTGAACTTTATTATTGCTTAAAGAACTACCAAGGAAAGATTTAAAGGAAGCCAAGCAAAACAGCAAGGCAAGCCAGTAGCCGGCTGCCTAGAGGAGCCAGGGGCCATAAGATTTCTAGGCTTGAGAGCTGGTAAGATGGCTTAGTGGGTAAAAGCTCTACAAGAATAAGGTCCTGAGTTCTGATCCCACCACCCATGTAAAATACTGTGGCAGGATGGGCGTCTATAGCCCCGGCACTGGATGGGGTTGCAAATGGAAGGATTGCTGGGGCTTGCTGGCTGCCAGCCTAGTTCCAGGATCAGAGAGAGACAAACCCTGCCAGAAAGGAATAAAATGGAGTATCTGATGTCCTTCTCTGGTTTCCAGGTGTGCATGCATGTGTGCAGCCATGTGCACATATAACACATACATATGCATCCAAGAGAGAGAGATCCAGGAAGGGACATTAAAAGGGCTGGATGGTCCAGGGCCTTCAGATTGGAATGAGGAGAAACAGCCATTCTCACACATCAACACATGAATCCCCTGAGAGGTGCAGGAACATGTGGGCTCCAGGCAGGCCCCTATAATTCTGATGGAGGAAGTCTGCCCTGAAACACTGGAATCTGCATTTTCATGAGTGTCTAGGTTACGTCTGCACAAGTGGTCCAGATCCATAAACACCAACAGACTCCCCCACAAAGCCCATTTCTGTTTCCTGAGATAAAAAACAGAAAGGGAAGACACAGAACTTCAAGCTTCCGCCTCAGTAAAATTTCAAGATAATTAATAGAGATTGGTTACTTGTTAGGAAAACGAAGTATCCATGTGCACACCAAAAACTGGGTGAAAAACAAAACTACATTTAGATGATTTAATATTTATGAGATGAAATAAATCCAATGGCTGGATGAACGGCAAGAAGTAAACCTCTATCACCTCAAGTTATCCACTAAGACAATATTTCAGCCACCCATTGTGAAAATGAAGCCTGAACCAACAACATCAAAGGACACCAACTGCATCCAAGAACACATACTAGGAAGGGTTAAGCACAACTGCATCTGAAAAAAAAAAAAAGTAGCTATTACCAACCCACACAAATCCAGAGAGAGGTGTTTGGGGTCCAAGGTGACCTAATATTTTCATAAATAACTCCAAAGATGGAGTAGGAATTATGCAAATCAAACCACAGATGATACAAAAATGGCAGGGATTGCAAGTCTGTGGAGAATGGAATTTAACTACTGGGCAATGTCTTTAAATTTTCCTTTATTGAATCTTGTATATTGAAGTCACACATTATTGTATCTGTTTATTGAGATTCGATGGGGCCAAATGCAGAGTGATTTATGGAAAGAAAGATAATCAAATGCCTCAGGAGAAAGAGTCTACACCTGGAGAGACCCTGGTGCCGGACAGATAGGAATTGACTGGGAAGTGGTTAGGTGTGCACAAAGCAGTTTGGGTAGTCTCTGAAAATGGGGGGCTATTCCAAGAGCTGGTGTAGAAATCAAACAAGAAAATGTCTGTTCTCGGAGCTTCTTGGCCTTGATGCTACTTCTGGTAGAAGTGTTTAAATGTAGATCCAGAAGGGAATTCAAAGCAGAATGGCACCGAGATTATGGAGTGAGACAGACCCTAGTCTAACCAAGAATTCAGAGGATGCTAGGGCAAGATGCTGAGTGTGCCTATTGTTAGGGAAGGAGACACAAAAAGCAAAGGGATGTGGAGGAGAGAGTGGTTCCAGATCCCATTAAGGAAAAACAAGCATGGGGAGCACAGCTGGAATGGTGGAGAAAGGGCATCCCTTTCTGTATGGTGTATTAAGCAGCCAAATGAGAGTCAAGGAGTTTGAGTTGTGGCAAAACATTGTCCCACCAGATGTCATCCTCACAGGGCACAGAACATTTTGAAATCAAGAGGCCGGTGAGAGGATAGAGGATCGGTATCACCCCACTATGCTCCTTATGTCCTATCCCCTGGCTTTCTTTGCCTCCACAGAGCTGCAGGACCTGACAAGATGGAGAGGCACCCAGAAGCACCACCACACCAGGACCTGCCTTGTCTAGCTTCCTGCTGTTCTCAGAGCAGCCTGGTCCCAGTGGCCGAGCTCTGCGTTTTTAGATCAGACAAGAGGGGAAAGGAAGACCCTAGGTGTGCGGCACTGTGGCTAGCCTTGCCATGGAGTGAGCAGGAAATGTCCAATAGAATGTCAGATAACAGGGCGAGGCCGTGGAACCTAACCATAGCATACAATACCCTGGCATGTGAGATAGACTAAAGCTAATATCCTCCTGGTGTCTACAGTCCCTCCCTGCGCCCCTCCTTTGGTCTCTACCCTACTTCTAACCTCAGACTCTAACACAGGAGCCAGGCAACCACGCTTTCAATGATGTTTCTGAATCAGGAAAGGAACGGTGGAGATGAATTGAGGGCCATTTATTAAAGCAAGCCATCGTCATAAAAAGATTCATAACCAGTCCTGCCTAGGACAAGGAGAGGGGGAGAGAGAAATGAAATTAGAGGGAAACAAATGGAAAGCGACAGAAACCAGGCACTTTGGTTGGAGAGTTTGGGGTGACACTTTTGTTTGTGATTCTCGACTGGGAAAAGATGTGGAGGATGGATCTTGAAAGAGGCAGAGAACGGGAGAGAATGTAGGAGGAAAGCCGGGAAGGAGACCTGGCATCCTGGAGGGCCGTCTGAGAGGGGGAGTCCCCTGTGGCCACAGCAGTAACAACAGGCGGGAGTGTGGCCACACAGAGATGGAAGCAGCAAAGTCTGGTGCTGCCCAGAGCTGGTGGGCAGCTGCCAAGACAGCACGGGAAGACTGGGCTGACACAGCACACAAGTTACTTACTGTCACACACGTAGGGTTTGTCGTGGTCTTCCTGAGAAGCAGCATCATGTCTCCTCCTGCCACCAGCAGAGCCACGAGCCTGAGGAGACATTGAGTATGAGACACTTGTTATTATGACATCCACTCAGCTCGTGGGCATATGCTCTTTAGGGCCTGAGTGAATCACCTGCATCACAGCCTCTGTTCCCATGCCAACCCTGCTTTACAAGCAAGAAAATGGAGACACAGGGGATTAGGTAACTGTCCCAAATCACTCAGCTACTCGCCTGGCTCGTCCCATTATTTTCATAATAACTCCAAGAAGGAGGTATAACAGTGGTCCCCTTGTATAGGTGAGGGAACAGAAGCAACAGAGAGGTGAAGTAACTTTCCCAATGTCCATTCATCTGCTAAATGCAGAGCCAGAATAGAAATAGGAAGCGTGTCTGAAAACCGATGCCATGGCCTGAATATGAAAATCCCTAGCTAGTGGCATCATTCTGGGGGCTGATGGAAACTTTAGGAGATGGAGCCAAACTGGAAAATGTAGGGAAAGCATGAGGTGAAGTTTTTAAAGGTTTTATTTGTCCTGGGCACCCTTCTTCCTGCCCTTCATTGTTTCCGGGTCACAGTGAGGCAAACTACTTTGTGCAGCCATAGACTCTCGCCACCATAGGGTTCTGACTCCCCACAGACCCATAGCAATGGAGAAAGCCAACTGTGGCTGACCCTTCTGAAGCCATGAACCAAAATAAAACCCCTATTCCTTTAAGAGGCTCTCTCAAGTGTTCTCCCACAGCAAGAGAAGTCTAACCAATGCAGTCCTGTATCTATCAAATAGGGGGGGGGCTCTGCCACTCTACCATAAAGGGTCTCTCTACTCACTGACAGTAGAAGATGCCATGCTGTTCTGTGTGCTGGTCACCTGATGAGCACACTGGGGATAAGGGCAGAGAGTATAACTACAGTGTCACCTCAGGTTCCTGTGCCCATACTGCCTGCCCAAAGGCCTCGGGGGCCCAGTCTCCTCCTTCAAGCTTGACCTTCACAGTAGGGCTGGGCTTCAGGCAGGGCTCCTGTATGTGATCTACCTCAGGCCTCCAGCCAGGGACTAAGACCTTAACCTCCAAGGTCAATGGAGCTGGATTCTTGATACCTACCAGAGCCCTGTGTGTCTTCCTGGGTGGGTCATGTGAAGGGGGTGGCGGGCTGGCCGAAGGAGTTAGACTTCAGTAGTAACAGAGACTAGCCTGAAAGGCATCTCTGCATCCCCAAACGGCAGCTACCAGAAAGCGGCAAGGCTTATTTATAATCTACTCTAAGCCCCGTGCTGGCCTTTCTGCAGCCCCTTAGCCTCCTCCGGGTCATCCATTGCTAATGAGTAGCCGTAAACTCCCAGCCATGGAAGGGGCTGGCTGCAGGTCATCAGGGACAGAGAGGAAGGGTCAGCAGGAAAGGAACGTGACAGAACAGAAGACTGCAGTGCAAGCCCAGGACCCGCTCTAGAAAAGCGAGCCCAAGGATTCATGGTGCAAAGGCCTGGGATGGATTCTCCCACACATACTCACTCACAAATCTAAGTGTTCATATCTCACTGGGGATGTCACTGTAGACAGGCCCACTCTCCAGGCCTGTGGTGCTTGATCCCAAAATACACACACTTCACAACCAACTCCACCTGCCAAAAGGAGATCACTTTTGGATCTCCTCAGCTTGTCATTTTTTGGGGGGAGTGAGATGAAATCCCACCTCCCTCCTTGTCGCTACTTTCCTGCCCCAACCCCTGCTATGGATAATCAATAGAAGTTACTTCTCTCCTTTCTCCCCTCCTCCTCCTCTTCCTCTTCCTTTTCATCCCCCTCTGTTCCTCCTCCTCCTCCTCTTCCTCCCCAAGCCCTCATTACTCAGAACTAACCCTAGGAGAGGCTGTGAGCACTGGCCATCACCCTTGAGGCACCAACGGACACTGTGTCTAGGATGCTGAGGGTGGTTGCCTTAAGACCCTGGCCTTCCCCACACCTTCTCAGTGAAGCCAGGGACAGCTTGGATGCACAGCCGGCAACCCTGTCATAGCCCCTTGGAGCAGGAAAGTCAGGTGGAATGGTGAGGCCACAGCAAATGCTGTAGGGGCTCTGCAAGACTGGCCACATGTCAAGGCAGATGAGGGGGTGGGAGATGCAGGGGCAGGAGATGAAGGGGTAGCAGATGAGGGGGACAGGAGATGAGGGAGCACGTAAACAAAGGTACCTGGGACCTCTGAGGGAGCCAGGAGAGGGAAAGAACAGCACTGCTGGGAGCCAACCTCCCTTCCCTTGCTGCTGGGCTGACCAGCAGAGAGGCTGCATGTGCCCACACTCCCCACGCACTGGTCTTGCCAAAGAGAGATAAAGGCTACAGGGCATCTAAGGGACTCCGTGTGAGATTCTCCTAAGGCAATGGAATTCTTGATCTCCTGGAAGACTCAAGCTTGACAACTCAGAAGCCTATGTGTCCCACTCAAATGCCACTTCCTCCAAGACGCCCTCCCAAGCCCACTGATGTCCACTTGTATTCTTCCATCCTCTTTCTTCGTCTCTGCTTTTTGTTTGGTCACAGCACTGTTGTTACCTGGCACTATGTTGTACATGTGTTAGTTCATTTCTTGATTTTCTATCTGTCCCACAAGAGGTAGCGTCCTGTCTGGGCCACCATTATTGTTGGAACCACGTGCATTCCTTAAACAGTTGCCAGATCATTGCATCAACCCATCAGGCAGTGAGTTGACCATTGCTGTTGTTCTTCTTTATCTGTACCCCAATGCTATAGTTTCTTCCCTCAAAAGCCATTAGCTGATCCTGAGCTCCCCAGGAAAGCTCCCAGCTGGGGCTCTACTCCCCATTGCCCAGTCTAACCCATCCTGCATGACCACCTGGCCAAAAGGGATGAGAGATATGGGGATTTGAGGCCATTCATTCACTCACACTCTTCCATTCCCAACTAGGACACACTTTCATAGCTAATAGCAGCCGGCCGCCAACCAACACTCTCACCCCAGGCCCAAGCTGTGTCTACATCCTGATTTTGTGGCTCCTTTTATAGTCACCTCTCCCATGCCAGCCACAGACAACCTACACTTCATCCCTGCCAGCACCCCACTCCTCCAAAAATCTTCCTCTTGCCTCAGAGTAAAAACAGCATTGTCTTAAAGTCTAGTGGGCCTAAATTTAAATTCCAGTTGTATTAGTCAGATATTTGTTACTATAACAAAAAGCCTGAGGCTAGTACTTTCATAAAGAGAAGAGATTTATTCTGGTTCATGGATCTGGAGGTGCAACATGTCGGGAACTCAACTGGTGATATCTTTCTTGCTACCAAAATCCACAAGCAACACAGAACAACACATGGCAAGAAACAGGGAAGCCTCATGTATGTCTCTTTCAGTCTTTCTCCCTCTTCTTATTGACCCCCGGGACCCAATCAAGAAGCTCTCCCCAACCTCACCTAATAATCCTAGTCACTTTCCAAAGGCCCCTTCTAAATACTACAGCCATCCAATTTCTGACTTCTCAACATCTCACAATGGGTTTTTAATGTCAGCAAACGAAGTCTCAGGGACACTCAAGCCATATCCAAACAACAGATAACACCAGCTGTGTATCATAGAATGAGCTACCCCTCTAAGCCTTAACTTACTTATAAAATGCGCAACAGCAGGCCAGATATGAGGGCACACATCTGTTACCCCAGCACTCAGGAGACAGAGGCAGAAGAAATACTGCAAACTTAAACTAACCTGGTCTATACAGAAAATTCCAGACCATCCAAGGATACTTAAAAAGACTGTCTCAATCAATACATACATAAGTGAATAAGTAAAACGGTCATGGGCATACCTCTGAAGCACAGTTGTAGAGACAGGAGTGTCAAGCCACAAGACACAGGATCAAGTCAACAGGAAGTATTCAGTAAGTTATTGACCCCTCCATGCCCCTGTGGCTCCTCTGGGCTCTCATGCTTGGTTAGCACACGATGAGAAAGAAGCCAGCAGTTCTCTTACTGTATTGAGTATTACCACCTCCCCAATTTTTGAGTCTTACTTCCTTGAGGGGTAAAGATGGCATTTTATAGTTTATTGTGATCCCCTAACAATATGCTGGGTACACAGCACAGAGCTCTTCCACACATATTAGCTCAGGTGATTCTGTCATGACCCTGTGAGTTGGATCCCTGTCTTGTCAGTTGGTGCTGGTTCTGAGTAAGTCCATGACTTGCCCACAGTCCCAGAGCCAGTGGAAAGAGCAGGACAGGTTTCTAGACTCTGATACAGAACCCTTTGAACCTTGCCCTCCAAAAGCAACCCTACAGATGTTCACCTCCCACTCACACATTGGAGGCCACAGCAGCCATGACTGTACCACAGGGTCCTGCCTTACTGACCATCAGTGGGTAAGCTCAGAAAGAGTCAACTAATTACTACACCAAGCCTATTTTCACTCCAACCTGGGCTGCTAGAGTCTATCTTCAAGAGACTTGGAACTTGAAAGCAGTGACCTCTGTTGATCACTGAATTGTACAAACCCATAAATTCAGGAGCTCTGGGGTCCTGTGCACAGAGGAGCTAGATGAGAGAGAGATGAGAAGTACCAGAGAGAAGAGAGAGGAAGCAGAAGCTGTGGGCGGGGTCCATATTCTCCTTAGTGCTGATTCCCTGTCACCTCCCTGACCTTCTTGTGATCTGGATCTTCCAAGATCACTCACACTTGGGATAATAGCCCCCAAGCCTTCAAATCCTTCTCATTAAGGCTTAAAGACATTGAGTTTCCTATAACAAAGAGGCCCAGAGTGAAGACAGACTCCAGCCAGCAGTAGTTCTACAAAAGCTGCTCTCAAATGGTGTTCAGAGATGGGCATCACCCCTCTTCTCCTATAGGCTGGAGATAATGGCTCCACAGTTAAGAGCCCTTGCTCTTCCAGAGGACCCAGGTTCAGTTCCCAGCACCCACAGCTGGCTTTACAACCAGATCAGATGGCCTCCTCCAGCCTCTGAGGATACCTGCACTCATTACACATGACCACATACACATCATTAAAAATAAATACCTTTTGACCAAAGCTATTCTCCTGGTGCCACTAAAAGACCATTGCCTCTCTCATTCTCATTTTCTCACAAGTGTACAGTGGGGTCTTCCAGAGGCTACATGACATTTGACAGGGCTTTCAGTGTGCGCTTGCATATTCGAGAGCTGCGTTCATCAGCTGGATTTTGTCTTAATTTTGAGTAGAGCAAACATTAGTGAGATTAATGCCACCTGTTATACTCAGAACAATAACTTTGAGGGGGCTGTCAGTACTTGCTAAAGGTGTAAAGAATTCCTGAGGCAGAGAGAGAAGGGGAGGGCACTGCTCTGCTACCTTGCTGTTGAAGGCATGGTCTTCAGATCATCGACACCCAGGAGCTTATCATCAAGGCAAGAACTTAGCCCCCAAACCCCAGAACTACAACATCAGAATTTGCTCTTTAGTAACATCCCTGGTGTTAAGGGATATTCACTCACACTGTGATCCCTGAGTTTGCATTTGCGTTAATTAAATAAATTTAACCTTGGGTCAGGAGGTTGTGTCAGCAACTAGTTGGCAGAAAGCAATCATAGAGCTCTTTTCAGGAGAGATAGAGAGACACAGGAAGTAATAGGGTGGGGTTTAGAACAATGCAGATTTTTTTTGTTTGTCGAAGCAGAAGCATGGGTCTTCCATGGATGCCAACAAGGAATGAGGGTTAACTAGTTGCTACTCAGCCTCTCTGAGCTTGGAGATTTTCACCCCAGCCTTTGAATCTCCAGTCTTATTCATAATTAGAACGATAGAGGTTTGGTTAAAGCTACCTTTAACAGCAGCAACAGGGCCAGTGCCTGCAGGAGCAGAATTCTAAACAGGCAGTAGCCTGACCAGGCCACAGCTAGAGAAGCAGACCAGTAGCTGTGGAGTTGCAATTGCTGGCTAAGATAGCAGTAGATTAAAGCACAGCTACTGTGCCAAAGTTAAAACAACACCCTGGGGTCTTCATGTGCACATACAAGTTTGAAGAACAATGGGCTGCACCAGAGATGTACCAACAATTACTAATTTAATTGATTGGTTGATAATACAAGGATGAGTCATAAGAATTTCATTAATTTTTTAGGTTAAAGTTACCATAGACACAATTATTAATTGTTGGGTATGAACTGCCCTAACCACCCAGAGAACAAACATATAGTATTAAAACTCAGAAAGTTAGCCACTTTGCTTACAATATACTTCTGTATCTATTCCTTTATTGAGCACTCGGATTTGGCTGTGTGTTCTTATTCCCAACCTACTGATGAATACATTGAGACTCAGTCTACAGAAGCTGAATGATTCACCCAAGGTGCAGTAAGTGGAAGAGCTAAAGTTGGCACTCCTGTTAAAGTTAAAAGAAGGGAAACCCATCCAAGACTCACTGCTGAAGCCCTGGCCCCCTTCTCTGTACAGAGTGGCTAGGGTCTTGTCAGTGGTCTGTGGGATGGAGATTAGGCTCCTCCTGAATTCCCAACAAGCTTCCAGGTGAGAATGAAGCTGCAGTCCAGATCTCACAGGCAGATGTCAGGCCCTACTGTGGTTGCTCCAGTGGCTAGAAAGTCCCAGCAGTAGCTGCAAACCCACGTAAAAGCTTAGTGCTGTAGGTAGGGTAGCTTCCCATGCCTTTTCAGCCCAGAGACTCACGCATTCACCCTCCACTTCCTCCATGGCTCTCAGCATGGCGACATGTCCAGTGTCACTCACCGTACAACCGGGAGCCATTAGCTCCCACTCTATCGTGAAGTTCAAACATGACTTTCCTTCTTGCTTTCCTCATTCAGCCTAGACATGCAGTGTCCTGGGCCAGGCAGGACCCAGTAGGAAAAGCATAGACTTGTGTTCAAATTCTTCTTTCTGTATGACCAGATTGAGCAACCTGGAGCAAGCTGCTTAGCCTTTCTAGAATACCAAGCGACACTTGAGCTGACACATTTTCCAATAGCTGCTTTTAGGGATGAGATAAGCTAGCTGGGAGTGTACTCAGTGGTTAGCAACTAATTACCACATTTAAACCTGGGTTCAGCTCCCAGCACCCCCAAAACAACAAAAAGTAAAATGAGAGATGCACTTTAATTTTAATAACATTTTAACCAAGTATAACAAAACTTGTTATTGTTAATACTTATAGAAATTAATAATGAGGTGTTCTGCATTTTTTGCTACTCTAAGCCATCAGAATGTGGTGCATATTTTACATTTACAGCATCCTCCAGTCCAGTCTAGACTAGCATGTGCTAGGTAGCCATGTGCAGCCAGAAGCTGCTGCAATGGACTGTTAGAAATGGGGAATGCGGAACATAAAGTCCCCAGTACAGCCTCATGGCTCTCTAGAATGGGCTCTCTCGGGAGCCCTTCACTCTGCCAGTGGGGACAGTCACTCCTTGATGGGGGATGTCCTTCTGTATGCTGTGAATGTATGTTTCTCTTATTGGTTAATAAATAAAGTTGTTTCAGTCAATGGACAGGCAGGGTGTAGCCAGGCAGTAAGTATAGGCAGGGCTAACAGACTAGGAGAATGCTGGGAAGAGGAACTCGGAGAGTGAGTTGTTGGGGAGATGCCATGTTACTGCAGAGAAAGCAAGAGGCCTGGGCATCACCGGTCAGCCAAGACCATGTGTAGATACACAGATTAATAGAAATGGGTTACTAATTGAGAGAGCTAGCCAATAAGAAACCTAAGCCATAGGCCAGACAGTTTATAATTCATATTAGCCTCTGTGAGTTTATTTGGGATTAAATAGCTGCGGGACCTGGCAGAATAGAAACTTCCATCAACAACTCCCCACACCCCTGAGGAAAAGACACCCAACCCCTTCTCACTAATGGCAATTTCCATCTTCTACACTCATGCCAAGAGTACCAGGACCATTTTCCACAAAGCACTCTTCAAAGTCTGCCAGTGGCAGGGGAGGAGTGGAAGCAGGTTGGGAGGTACATAGGTCTTGGCATTCACAACAAGGCACAGAAACTCCGCGTCCCTATGCCTCCTTCGGTGATGGAATAGATGTTTCTTTTTTTACTGTCTGCACACACACCACGGTGAAATAATATGGCCAAGCAAGTTCATCCACAGCTTCAGAGAACCATTAGGTGAAACCCTGATGAGGAACATTATAGGAGAGAGGCTGGGCTGCAACAGTAATTCTGGTCAGTTTGAACACCACTAAAGGCAAAACACCATGGCACCATACACCCCTGAAGTGATACAAAGTACATATCTCCACCCAGGAAGGATGCTCACCCCTTGGGACAGATACAGAGATCCTGGGCCTATTCAAATCTCCAAGCAACCATAGTGCTCCTTGACCCACAGAGAACATGATTCAAGACACCCCATGGATTCCTAAACCTCAGAGAGTATTATATGAGCCCTACAATTGAATGCCTTGTCTAAGTACTTATTATGTACCATGACCATAACTTTTGTTGTTATGGTCTTTGCAGGGAGAAGGTTCGTTCTCTCTATAGAGTTTACAAACCTTAGCATTGAACACTTCCCTCAAGACTTAAGAAGAGAACTTTTGCTTGTTTGCTTCAAGGAAACTACTAATGGGCTCTCTTTGGCATATGTGAATTGGTGGTATCGTTACTATTGCACTTCTAGCCTGATAAGCATAATAAGGGTTAGTTGAATATAAGCACGGCAATACTACCAGTCTATCTGATTTGACAAATGCTAGATAATTAACAGGCAGTCAGCATACATAGAGCAGATACACTGGGCAAGGGTAGTTGGTAGGTATTAGAACAAAGAATATTTGTGTCATGTATAAATATGCCTGATAGAGATACACACTGAGACATAAAATGAGATGTACAGGATCTACTTTCAAATACTCCAGTGGGAAACAAGCACATAAACCAACAAACAATAATCAGGAAAAAAAAAGAATGCATTTGGCAAAATGGTGGAAATACTGGTAATTGATGAAGATGGTAACAGCCTGATAAAACTGCACCATCCCAGACTGAGAACTGTGTTTTTTTTCACCAGTGGGAGCATCTCGGCTCACGGTGCCATTGGCACTAGACTTCATGTAACAATCACTAGGAAGTTACTTATATTATAGCTCAAGGTCTGTTCCCAGACCTAATAACTGAGCACAGGTCCTGAGTGGCTAATCTCAGTAGATACTCTCTGTGGCGCTACTGTCTACACAACACAGGCTTACAGTAACTATCAGTGGGCCCAAACCCACAGATACCATCACTGACTTCTCACCCATAGGAAGGGGAAGGCCCTACTTAGAGTGGATAGGAGCTAGACCCTTGAGCACTCAAAAGCAGACTCTGAAGTAAAGAGCCCTAGTCCTCCCCTGGAGGTCCCTCTCCACCTAGTTATCACAATGCCCTTGGACATCTCCAAAGGTGATCACAGAACACTTTGCTGAACAAGTCCCTGGAGAATCAAATAGAACATCTGAAAACACAGCCTTGGTCAGCTCCCTTCCCCGTCAGGAACTAGCCAGGGTTTTCTTTCTCCCCATCAGGGTCTCTCTGTCATTCCTGCCTCTGACCCCTTTCTTGTTCATTTCAGGGCCACATGCCTCTAAAGTTCATGCAAAATCCACTCAGGGGACCATCAGCCACAGCCCACCTGCTTCCCTAACCAGCTTCTACTCTCTCTGCTCACGGAAGCATGTCCCAAGACAGGTGTTCTGAGCCTGTCATTCTGGAAAAACCCCAGGATTAACAAGACAAGAAACTCCTTTCATAATGGAGTCTTGGAAAATTCTCCTCACCCTCGGCGCGACCTCTGCTTCCTCTCCTCCCTCTTGCCAGCCCTGGACTTTTCTAGCCAAGCCCAGCCTGGGGCTTCCCCAGTGTTTTCCTCAGAGCAGTCTCCAAGTAAGACCATGGGGAATGTCTATCCAGGTATGGAGGGAACTAGAATCAACCCCAGTGGGGACTGATAGCTTGCCGGGCCTTGGCAACCTGAATGCCTCCCTCGTGGCCTGTCTCCACTTACCCGTCCTCTGGTCCTGTTCTTGCGCTTGGGAATGTCCTCTTCCAAATCCTCCTCTTCATTCCCTTCTTCTACATTTTCGTCATTTTCCAACACCCTCTAAAATAACAAGAAAATCAAATACAAGACTTGAGAGATGAAACGCAGTGTCAAAAACATCAAAGGGTAGGTTGGGTGGGGGGAGGGTTCCTGGGGCTTTGTTCTTCAGCAAAGCGAGGGTGCTGCCGCTGCCCACATACAAGTTGAAAGTCTCAGTGCAACCAATACTCTTGCAAGACCGTAGGCCCCTTCCAACCAAATCTTGCCAGAACACTGATCTTCCTCAACTCTTTTTACCCCCACCAAAAAAAGAGGTTTTTGGCAAGAGCATAAGAACACTTTTCCATGTGGGACCAAGTCGCCTTTTTAAACCTTACTGTCTTTAATATGACATGTTCTTTTATTTCTAAAGAGCCACCTCAGCATTTAAAAAGCCATTCCTCTTTTCTCTACCTTTGTGAAACTCTGCCCTGCTTGACGAAAGCAAGGAACTTCCTGTCCAACTGGCCAAAATACAGGGTTAATATACTGCTCATAATAATCCACTGTGGGGTTGTTTTTAAGAAAAATAAATTTTCATCAGGGCATAGTGCAACATGCCTGTAATCCCAGCACAGGAGGAGCAGGAGTTCAAGGCCACCCTCAATTACATAGTAAACCTAAGGCCAGCCAAGGTTATGTGTGACACTGTCTAGGGCAGGGGCTGAGGGGGATAATAGATTTCATCACAGCCAACGACTTACAATCAAGCTATAAGTTCATAAATTCAAATAAGGCCCTTAGAACATGGTGTCACAGAGTTAGTTTCCATTTTAAAGGTGCATAAACTGGGGCTGAAAACAGTTTTAAATGTTCACAGTCATCCAGCAAAGCCATGACCAGGGCAAGGTCATGTTGGTGAGCTTAGCTTCCCACTCATGTCCCAGCCCTTGCTGCTGAGACTTCTCAGGTACATTACAACAGACACTTCAGGAAGGATCCAAGTGCTTCATTCCCTCCCCAGGAGGAAAGGGGAGAGGCAGGGGTGCACCTCCAGGTCTAAAGTGGGCCAAAGGAGCATGGAGGACCCTGTTGCTACCAGGGAGCAGGAGATGAAGGAATGGGAGCCCAGAGAGTCCATGTCAAGGACCCACAGGGTGGGAGGAGTTTTTCATGAGCTCACTTACATGGCCTTGAGGGATACATTGTTTTGTGCCTCTTCTTATCCAACTAAAAACCAGCAATTGTTTGGCTCTATAAGCATGCGCCCAATGCTGACTACATGTAGGCTCTATGCCAAGCTAAAAATAAAAGCGACAGTCCTGGCCTCAAGAAGATCTTAAAGTGTACTAAGAGGAAGATGGATTTAAATAACATATGTAACTGCCTAAGCCCCATTGTTGTAGTGGTCGTGAGAGAGAAGTTCAAGGTGCTGTGAGATGGGGCTCTTGAGAACTTGGCCTGATCCGAAGGTCAAAGGAGGCTTTGCTGAGGCTGGGACAAAGAGAAAAGAGATGTGGAAGACAAGCAAAGAATGGATGAGAGCAGCTCAGACACACTTCCAGCTTGACAGAAGGGCTATGTATGTGAATGGAGGGGCAGAGAAGGTTCTAGACCAGCTGGTGAAGCGGTTTGGGGACTCTGGCTTGTCCGGTGGGAAGAAAGATTATGGCGTGACCAGTGCTCAATGGTTTCGGGAAAGATGGCAAAGATGAAGCCAGAGAGTTAGCATAAGCATATGGCACAGGGATACAGCTTGTGGTGGTGGTGATGGTGGTGCAGAAGTCACACCAACTATAAACGGGCTTAGAAAGTGATATGTCCTGCCCATGCAGTCTGATGTCACCATTATTGCTCAGATGAATTCTGGGATAGCACCTCTGCAACTTGTCTTCAAAACAGAAAGTCTAAGAGGTAGTTACCAGAACATCACACTCTAGTCTCATCTTCTAGGTTACTGCTGGTCACCCAGTCCTTCCACAGAACACAAAACATGTCTCATGACTTCTCAGCAGCTGGTAGCATATTGTGGTTTGAATGAGGATGACCCTAATAGGCTCATATATCCGAATGTTTGGTTACTAGTTAGTTGAACTGTTTAGAAGGCATTAGGAGGTGTGGCCTTGTTGGAAGAAGTGTGTCACTGGGGGTAAGCTTTGAGGTTTCGAAAGCCCATACCAGGCCCACTCCTTCTCTCTCTGCCTGTGCATCAGGGTGTAAGCTCTCAGCTACCGCGCCACCACCATGCCTGCCTGCTGATGACACACTGCTTGCCATGATGACCATGGACTCACCCTCTGAAACTGTAAGCAAGGTCCCAATTAAATCTTTTCTTCTACAAGTAGTCTTGGTCATGATGTTTCATCACAGAAATAGTAACCCTAACTGAGTCACAGCACTTACAGACAGCTCAGCCAACCTTCAACATCAAAGAAAAATGTCCTTGTCTGCTGGACACAGCCTCTGGCCCATAGCTAGAAGATGTTGACCAGGGTCCAGAGCAAGACTTTTGGTTTCCTGACCTTAAAAAGGTGTCACTGGTCAAGCCAGGCAAGGGCAGATCAGATGTTCTACCACTTGGGTAAAAATCGTAGAATGAACACAAAGTGCCACTGTGACTACCACTGTTGACTGTATTTTACAAACGTCCCAGGTCTTGATGTCATTTAAACACAGCAAGTTCCAACTGCTGATATCCAAAGGCCATTACCTCTAGCATCTCAGTACATTTCTGATGCCCCTGTAATATTTCATGATAGGGAATGTTTTCACACAATATGGATTCTTGGCTGGAAGGAAAAAAACAGATGAAGGCCACTGGGCAGGTCCCTACATGTCTTATGGTTTCTTGGTCCAGGACCAAACTGACTTCTCTGACTTTCCATCCCACTTGACATCAGCTTGTAACTCCAAAACACGGTCCTCTGCCATACACTACCCCAAGTGTTGTCATTTCCTGCCATACAGCCCTAACTCCAGAAGCTTGTCTACCCAACTTACCCAACTTGTTCCATGGGAGGAGTCAGGAGTTCCTAACAAACAAAGCTATGCTGGGACTCAAGAAGCTGAGAAGAGTCAGGATGTAGGATTAAAGGACAGGGACATCCAACATAACTGACACCCTCCTAACCCCCCTGTTACATACTGGCAGCCCCTGTCCACAGACATCTGAAAAATAGATACATTTGAAAATAACTTTCCCTGCTATTACTCTAAATAAACTTTATTGTAATTGTGACAATGATTTGTGCTTGTTTTTAACAGGAAAGAGGGAAGAAGAAAGAATGGAAGGAAGTAGGGAGGAAGGGGGAGAGAGGGAGGGAGGGAGAGAGGAAGACATCTCCTAACTGCTCAGTTTGACCGCTGTCCCCACACCATCTCCTCTCCATGCAGGGCAGGAAGGGGAGGAATCATTAAGAAATCTAAACTCATTGCCTGCCCTGGTCAAAACCCTCCAAATGGCTTCCTTTTCATTTCACATGAAGCCATAAGAGCCACAACTAGGTCTCCTAAGGCCTGAGGGATCTGGCTTCCGCCCACCTAGCCTGCTCCCCCCACCCCCACCACTCTACTCTGACCACGGGGCCTTCTATCTGTTCACTGGGCAAGATGGGCACTGACCTGTCTCAGAGCTGTCACTCCAATGATCTGACATTGTTGGTTCCCGTCATCCCACAGGACTGTGGCTACACCCATGTCCCTTAGCGCACTGCCTACGCTCTGCCCTCTAACACTGCTTCCTCCTGCTGGCCTTCATTTACCCCTTTACTCTAATTCTCTTGTCTGTTCCCTTGTTTTTCTAGCTGTGTGATACACTCAAATTCGAGTAGCCCCCAGCACCCCAGTCCCTGTTCAAAAGAATGCATACATGAATTAATGAGTAAAGATGAACAAAAAAGTACATAGTCCATTTATCATATATGTAGTTTTGCAATGCAAAGTCAATAAGAACTTAAACTCAAGTGGGCTACTTTCAGTTTCATACAACCTAGACAGTGCAGTCCCATGCTGTGGCCACACTGCCAACCCCAGGCCTGATGCAATGAAGGCGATACAGTGACAACATGTTTCTTGGCCCAGAGCTACGTGAAAGCAGCTCAGACTTGCTCCCAGCTTTACAGGAGAGAGGCTGTATGTCACTAGGTATTCAGGCTTCTGGGTACTGGCTCTGTATAAATCACTGATTCCATCAAAGTACACTAATGGAGCAAAAAATACTAACAACAGGGCAGTGGGGTCATACAGAGATGACGCACCTTGCTTCAAACTCTGCAGCTCCAAACACAGGGACTAATATATAACTAGCTAAACACACACACACACACACACACACACACACACACACACAAAGAAGAAAGTGGTAAGTGTCCCAAACTCCTAGGATAGAAAGAGTCTACTCTGGTTATGAGGGACCAAGAAAGGGTTGATGGGAAAGGTGGTGCCAGGGCTGGGCCTAACCACTGAATAGAATTATTATGGATGGAAGAAAACACAATAAACCAGAGGTTCAGAAGGCTGAGGAAGAAGAGACACTGAGTCTGAATGCTAGCCAAGAGCAGAAAGGAGATGCCCAAGAAGCCCATGGCTACCATGCTGAACTTATTTAGTGGAAGCAACAGATATATTAGGAAGGAGGTGACAGAAGCAGAGCTTACTTAGGACAGCAGGGCATGTGGGACAGAGGGAGGATCAGAATCAAGGCCCCCAGTCATCCACTCAAGCAAACATTTACTGTGCGCCTATGTATGAAGCTGGGCATGTGTGTTTAAGGTGTATTCGTGAAGAAGGTAGTCAAAGGGTTCCTACCTGTGGGGGTTTACATTTCACCGGGAGAACAAATAATCACAAAAAATAAAATCCAAAGAATACTAGATGGTAATAAGCACAATATGACAAGAAATAAGAAAAGCAGAATACTGGAATGAGATGGTGCAGGGTATGGCATTAATCACAACGGTCAAGGCACCCAAAGGTGAGATGAGAGCCCGCCACCCATGTCTAGGGAAGGGCTTCCCACACAAAGCAAACAACCAGGGCCTGTGCCATCTGAGAGAGGCAAGAGGCCCTTGTTTTCACTCAGGTGTGAGCAGCCATAGAAGGGGTTCCTTCCCCTCTGGTCGTCAGTCTTCTCAGAGCTACGACATCATGAAAAGCTGTGGAGGAAGAGTCCATGTGTGTGTTTGGTGACAGAAGCCAATCTGCAAAGGCTCCCTGTGTAGCTAGACTATGGGGGTGGGGGAGACAGTTGTATCTGGGGGCTGGGAGTGGGATGAGTAGCAGGGCACAGTTGGTTTAGGGCAATGAAATTTACATGTATTACACTATGCATGGAGAAGTCATAGCATTTTGCATTTGTCCAAGCACACAGCATGTCATGTGGCATACCAAACGTGAACATTAACATAAACTGTGGATTCTGTGAGAGAAAGCCCCTTTGAAGGCAGCTCACCGATGGAAACAAATGTGGACAATGTTGACAATGGGAGAGGTTAAGCTTGGGGAGATAGGGGAGGTGAGAAATCCCTTTACTTTCCGGTTTGCTATGAGCCTAAAAATCACAGGTTTTTAAAGAGATCTATGTTTTAAAATTTTTCTGGGGCATCAGTGGAGAAACCATTGAGAAGGCAATCAGGAGCTCCAATCAGGGACAAGGGTGGGATGACCAAGGCAGCAAGAGGGATGGATATATGGGACAATGGGATATGGGACACTGATTCCTCCTAATGACACTGCGGACAGCATTGCTGAAACATGGGATGCTGGGTGTGAAACAGACAGGAGCATCAAAGATGAGCCCGGGGTTGCCAAGTCCAAACCAGCAAGCATCTCCACGAGGGCTACAGCTTGTGGAAAAATCAGAGGCAAATATATCAGATGGTGGCAAATAAGTGGAAAAGATTTGACCGTTTATCTTCCCACTAAAAGGGCAGAGGAAGACAGACTCAGATGCACCCGGCATCTTTATGGACAGCCAACTCCATGTTGGCATGCGCAAGGACTGAGAGTGTCACAGTGAACACACCACAGTCCCTGACACACACGTGTTTATAAAGCAGCAAAATGCTATTTATTATTATTGTTATTATTACTGTTATTAATGAAGATTTTAACAAATTAGTGAACCAATCAAATTAAATGTCAAATTGAATATAAAATGAATGAATATGAGATGTATGACATAGAATATAAAAATTTAATATACAAGTTAATCAAGATATAATTTAATTATATTTCATTATTAATAATATGATATCACGATTAACTAATATTATTATAATGCTCTGTACCTCACTGAGTATTAGATAACAGGGATCAGAGATATACTGAGAATGAGCAATGGTAGGTGCCCACCATCACAAGGGTATCTAAGAGTTTTGCAGGTGTTATACACAGAGGGTAGTGGACGCATGAAGACCAAAGCAACTGCCCCTGCCTGAGGGAGTGACCAGGCTGGCTTTGTAGGATGGGTAGGTGGTGCTGGCAGGGGCTGAGAGATCTAGTGAGCTGGAGCTCGGACTGGGGTGTAAGGGGCAGAGATGAAGCAGAGGCCCCAACTCTTAAGTCTAAATGATGGGCTGCTCATTCCACAAAGGCAAGGACTCAGTCTATCCTGTTCCCGTTATGTCTTTGGGACTCAGCACAATACCTGGTGCTCAAATGGCTCAGGAGATACCTTTTGAGTACAGACACAGGGAAACCAGGGAACAGAGTGGAGGGAACAATGTTTTTTTTCCTGGGCTGGAGGGATGCTTTCCAGTCAAAAGAAGCTCTAAGCTTCCTGGCAATGGTGTCACAAGGACCTCATGACACAGAGGCAGCCCTGCCCCTAGAAGGCAAGGAGGGACCAGGTGGTGATGCTAAGGGGCTCTGTGGCAGGTGCAGGGTACCTGTATTTCCTGGATGCTTTCCTCCTCTCTGGCATCCACCTTCTTCTCCACTCCCTCACCACGAAGAAGGGCTTCAAGCGTGGTACTCTCAGAGGTGAAGCCATCTTTCTTCAGGGGCAGCTCTACTTCTGTAAAACCAACATGGACAGACAGGTCAGTCACCAGAAGTTGGTGAGACAAGATAGTCTTGGGGAACATGCAGAATTCTTAGGTAGCTCTCAAATGGCCTATGTCATCTCCTCTTGATGAACAGGACCATGGAACACTGGGGTTAGGTTCAGCTTCTCCACCAGTGCACACACAGTCCCAGAGAAGAGCTCAATCCTGCCCACTCCCTGGGGCAAACTGAGGCAGAACAGAGAGGGTGCCCTCTAGAGGTAGGATCAGACTGCCTGGGTCTCAGCCCGGCTTTTGCCATTCTTGGGGTATAACTTAGGGTGAGACGCCCAAGGAGCCTGGAGTCTATTTCCCCATCTATAAAGAAGAATAACAGAGCCCAGGACCACAGGGTTTTTTGCAAATGGTTAAGCACAACAGCAATGTCTGATTCCTATTGTCTTCAAGGTCTTGGCTGTGCTGGCTGCCCAGCTCTGCTTTGTTCCATAGAAAGCTCTCAGCCTCAGAGAGGCTGTTCACATCAACTCACAGGGGAAGCAGAGACCCCAAAGCAATGGGAAAGGAATGACAGTAATGTCCAACAGATGCCAGAGCAGCAGAGTAGAAAACCATTGCCATGCCCAAGAAAACTGTAGGAAGAGTTCCAGTGCTCCCAAACCTGGAGAAATCAGTAAAGTAGGATTGTAGGGCATTTCTCTACACACATTAGGAGTTACATTGCTGGACCTGTGAGTCAATGGCTGCTATAGTTTGGACACAGAAACTCCCATTGCTCTCAACGCTCATGTGTTTAAAGCTCGGCTCTCAGGGTAGCACTATTGAGAGATGGAGGGGCCTTTAGGATATGGGTACTAGTGGAAAATGTCCTTAAATTATTAGGATTATACCCATGAAAGGGACTGCCCAACCTGGTCTTTCTCTCTTCTCTCATTCCAGTCACGAAGCAAGCAGTTTGCTCCAGATACATACTCTCCACCGCTGACATCTGCGGAAGTCCCAAAACTGGGTCTTCCTGGCTAGGGAATAGCATCTTGAAAACTGTAAGCCAAAATAAACTGTTCTCTTTGCAGGTTAATATATCAGGTGTTCTCTTATAGTCACGGAAGGCTAACAAACTGGGCCAGTAAAGCAAAGATAGGACTGGAGGCAGCCTGCTCCTGAGAGAGACCAAAGTGATCTTCTAACTCTTCCCTAAGATGCTCCCCAAACCCAAAGTGCTCCTCAAACTCTTGACAGAGAATTTTAACTTTTTCTAAGAACAGAAAACTAAGGTATTAGTTGGTATTTTAGTCTACTATATAATTTTCCTCCAATCTCTCCTTGATCCCAGACCTCACCTATACAAAACACACCATGGGGGAGGGGTTAGAGAGAGAGAAAGAGGGGGAAGGAGAGAAAAGGAGGGGAATTAGATGGATGGTCCCCACCAGCTAAGGTGGTCACAAGAACAACCAAGTGAAATCAATCTCTCATTCATGTGGGCGAATCAAGAATTTAAAGTAGGGCTCACTGACAGAAGTGTGGAAGGACAAAGGGAGTCAATGAGGAATAGTGAGTGGAGCAAGGGGAGCCATCCTGCTGCTGCTTTAGAGGGAC